ATTGTGGTAAACTGTGGTCAATGTCATGAGACAAAGTATATGTAAACTGCTGTATGGAAAGTGAATTTACTCTGTAAATCTTCACCTAAATCACAATAATAAATAAATAAATACAATTTAACAAAAGGGAAGAAAAATGTCTTTACAATATTCATAACCATTTAGCTAGAAATTCTAGATCCAAGAATATTTCTAAGGAAATAAAAATGGATATAATTTTCAATTCCAGCTAAATTATTGAAAAAACTATTCATAACAGTGGGGGAGTGGGAGGGCCAACCAGAATTAACATAAGTGTTTCACAAGGATTGGTAAAATAAATAACAGGAAATTCCACTTATGAATACTCAACCTCCTAGTAGCATTCAATATAGCTGACTATTGGCACTCCTTGGTCAACTTTGGCTTTTCTAAATGCTGAATTACCTGTTCCTTTCAGGTCTGTTTCTCTTCTCTTATCTGGTGTCATGGCTTTAGGTGACATCTACACAGCTGTAAAGTATCCTATCTCTCTCTCATGCTGTGCCTGGAGTTAACTGAATATTCAAATGCCTACTTGACCACTTGACCTCTCCATAATTCTCTAACAGGCAGCTCAAATTTAATGTCCAAAGCAAAACTTTTTGTGTTTTTAAATTTTTATTGTGCAAATTCACTTTCCATACAGCAGCTCACATACACCTTGTCTCATGACACTGACTTTAATTTCCCACAATGCAACAGCTCCCCTCCCACTTCCTCTCCATAGCTGCCTCTTCCCTGTGTCCTGCCCTCCCATGCACTCCTGGCCCCCAAGCTATGTCCCTGTGCATACACAGTCCTTCTATTCTCCCATGACTGATCTCTCCAAGAAGTGTATCTACCTAATGTAAATGTTCAACTCATATGCCTGTCTTTTGTTTGGATGGAACCCACAGGAATAGGTTTAATTCCAGACCTGAAGGGGCAGCTAGGGGCTATAGTCTCAGGGGTTCCATCAGGCTCTATCAGACCAGAAACCTGGTCTTTTTTTTCTCCCAAAATGATTTTTGAGTTTTGTTCTACATTGTTCCCCTACTCTATTCAGGATCTTCTACATAGATCTCCCTCTGAGTGGTTGACAGTAGTAGCCGGGCAACATCTAGTCCCAAAGCAAAACTCTTGACTTCCTACATCTTCCAACCCTTCTCTGTCTCAGCAAATCTTATTTTCTTCCAGCCAGTTTTTCTCTTTCTCTTCTTTTAATATCAGTCATTAGAAGGACCTTCTCATTTCCTCCAAAATACATCCCAATTGTCTACTTCTCCCCATCTTCACTCTTACCACCCTAAGGCCACTAACATTTCTCACTCTATCTCACTGCACTCCTGATCCCTTATATAAGCAATTCCCCACGAAGGAATTAAACTTGGTCTCTCTCCTGCTTAAACATCTCTAAGAGTTTCCCTCTGCAGTTTGGACAAAGACGAACTCCTAATCAGCCTACAAAGTTCTATGCAACTGGTCCCCATAACTCTTTTTCCAACTTCATTTTCACACAAATATCCTCCAACCACATGGGTTTTCCTCCAGTTTCTTCAATTTGCCATCTACTTCCTGCCTTAAGGCCTTTCATTCTGGAATGAACTTGGTTTAAACTAGCTCTTCCTCATTATTCACATCTCTGCTTAAATGTCCCTTCTTCAACTGTCTTCCCTGACCACCTAACTTAAAATAAAACCCCTTGCCACTGAGTTGATTCCAACTCACAGTGACCATTTAGGACAGAGCAGAACTGCCCTATAGGATTTCTAAGACTGTAAATCTTTACAGAAGCAGACTGCTTCACCTTTCTCCTGCAGAGTGGCTGATCAGGTTCAAACCACCAACTTTTCGGTTAGCAGCTGAATGCTTTAACCATTACCCCACCAGAGTGTCTTTTAAAATACCTAAAATAGACACCACCGTATTGCTGTATTTTAATTCTCTGCATGGCATGTATGTGATATACATTTACGTATATGTTTTTTGTATTTACATAGGTGGTTTTGGTCTGTATTCCCATCCTAGTATGTAAATTCCATGGGAGCAAATATGTTAACTTTTTCATTGCTAGTCCACAACCCAGTATAAAGTAGGCATTCTATAAATATTTTCAAATGAACAGTGAATGCATCTGCAAAATCATTAAGAAATATATAATAGAAAAACAATGATCTACAAAGATAGTTTAATAAATGAAAAAAGAAGAATGCACATATACATGTATTAAAAAATAAAAGAAAGATTCCAAAAATGTTTGGTAGGGGCTATCTCCAGGTGACTCTTTTATATGAATTAAAAAAAAAAAAGCACAAGAAAAAATATTCCCTTATTTAAATTATTGCTTACCTTCAAAAAAGGAATAACTTCTTTCATAATTGCTTTAATTTGTCGGTCCAGCTGCTGAGTATCAATTCTAGGACAAGGGACGTTAGAAACTTCACTGACAGGTTGTTGAGAACTATGATTTTCAATAATAGGAGTTTCTATTTTTAGAAAAGAAAATTGACATATCAGCAAAATAAAGCCTATAAACATCAAATTTTGATGATTTCATATGAAAATTATACAAACACCTCTCTAATTTTACCACCCCTAATACAAAGAAGCTGTATTAAAACCACTATAAAGCAATAGTGAATTTATGTTAATGAGGGAGGAACAACTGAGAAAAGGAGGGTGAGAATGGTGGTACAACTGGAAAAATGTAAAATCAATGTCACTGAACTGTATATGCAGAAATCGCTGAACTGGTGTATGTTCTGCTCTATATAATCTCAACAAAAAATAAATTATAAAAAAATTAACAGAACTATGATTTTTAATCAATCCAAGAACACACCTTCTAAGTTATTAACCACAGTTGTATCAGCAGCACCATCTTCAGCCTCAATAATTCTGCAGGTGCATCTTATATTTGGGTTAGTTTCAGCCTCAGTCTTCACACGCTCATATTCCCTCATTCTTGCTAATGCTTGATCTAAGTGAATCACAGTGTTGCCTGCATTTGGAACAGAAAATATTTCTAGAAAATATAAAAGCAAACTTCTTAATACATTCCTTAAAATATGTTAATTAAAAAAAATAGGGAAGATTTGAAGATAGGGAAGGACAGTAAGCTTTAACAAGTTCTAGGAACTGTAGCATCTGGCCACTTCATATACATTACATTTTTAATTTAATCCTTAACATAACCCTATAGAACAGATGATAAATCCATTGCTGTCAAGTCAATTTTGACTCATATGACCCCAAAGAACAAAGAAGAACTGTCCCACAGGGTTTCAAAAAGCTGTAAATCTTGACAGAAGCAGACTGCCACACCTTTTTCCTGTGGAGCTGCTGGCGGGTTCAAACCACCAACCTTTTAGTTAGCAGCCAAGCACTCTCACCACTGTAACATCAGGGCCCCTAGAACAGATTAAATGTAGGAGCAGGAATTCGAACTCAGGTTTCTCAGACTCTGAAGCCCGTATTTGTTTCACTACATCATGCTACTTCACTTAAACAGTAAAATAAATAAATAATGCAAATTCTCATGAAAACTATCCAACCTAATATAAAAAAACAAGGTAAGGTAAAGGCTTATGAAAGATTTTTCAATTTCCCTATGTTCACTTCATACAAAGCGTAATTAGAACACATCAGTAAACAAAAGAAAACAGGTATGACTCAAAGTCATGTTGCAATTCAGTAAAGAGACAACCAAGTTGGTCATACAGTGATTTTTTTCTATAATGGGATGAGCTCCGCACAGACCTGGCACGTACTATTCAGAAAAGAAGGCTTCAACAGTCAAGATAAGGCAGAAAGATTTGTTGTTTTGGTAAAAGATAGATACTGAATGATAGGGCACAGCTTAGCCCATTTCTTTGTAGTTTAAAAACGATTTCTGAAATTGTCTAAATCTTGTTCTTATCATGTGACCACTAGAACTTGAAGCATTAGATTATTTTATCAACTAAGTGCCCTGGATATCTGAGTGACTGAATTCTAATAAATCTTTTGAGACCCCAGCCTGAGAAATGAAATCAAGTATATTCAATATTCACTTAACTTTTCTCTAATCTCCTTTCCGAGTCTAGGACTCAGATTTTTGTCCCACTGAGGGTTACACAAACCTCTATGCTTTATCTGTTTTACCAATGATTTGGAAAAAAAAAGCAATGTGCCAGAATTATCTGGGTTTCTCACTGTGCATTATCTATGCTAAGAAATTTTAGTTCTGCAACTCAAATTAACCCAAAAAACCAAACCAAACACACTGCTGTCAGACCTGACTCACAGCGACCCCTCATCAGATTTCTGAGGTAATATCACTATGGAAGTAGATTGCCCAACCTTCCGCGGAGTGGCTGGTGGGTTTGAACCACCGGCCTTCTGGTTAGCAGTCAAATGCCTTAGGCACTACACTACCACAGCTCCCCAACTCAAATTATGTGGTCAATATTTTTACTAAAAATGTGCTTGGATTGCGTGCATTAATACCTCTGACTTCTCTCCCTTAAGGGTAAGGAAAGGTAATTAACATTTTCTGAACCCCTATTATGGAGGCCAGAACATTCCTTCTATGTAATATTCCAAAAGAGTTGCTAAGTGAGTCAGAAAGCAGTTGAAAACAAGGAGATTCTTGAATTTACACTGATGGATAGACTTTAAAGTTCATTTTCTTTCCACCACACCTTGCTTTTCTGTATTTTTGGTTCCTTATCAATGTAATTCAAAGATCAGACCAGATTAATGTTCTATGATTATTTTAAGAATTCTGCTTACCTAGATCATCTGTTGCAAAAGGCTCAAAATTTGAAGATACAGATAAGACACTAGCATTATCAGCATCATTTTGCTCACTTATTTTATGTGTTTCTCTCTCAAAGTTCTTCTCAAAGGTTTCCTAAGTTACAGTAAAGAAGAAAACCAAAAATAACTACTGTTATTTAAAAAAATTTTATGATTAATGTCAGAAAATATGAAAACTAAGCATTTGCATATAACCATACATTTAAAAAGATAGTCTTAAATCATAAACCTTCCATGCAAAAAAGACAGTAATATATCCAAAGTTAGTTAAGGTTAAATAGTCAACAAGAAGATTAAGAAGCTTTACAGAACATCTGTTTATCTTTATGTAGAAGAAAATACAGCATTAACTACTGATTAAATTCTAAAATCAGCCAAGTAAACTTTCAAAATTATTTTTGTACCCTTGGGGCATTCTTCTATTTCTAAATTCTAATAATGCCTAGCACATTACTATGATATTTGCTTGTCTGAAATCAGAAGGAAAAAGACAGTGTCATTCACATTGTTTTTTTAAAAATTAATTTTATTAAAAAATAACTTATATACAATAATGCACCCATTTTAAGTGAACAGTTTGGTGTGTTTTAACAAATGTATATACTCATGTAACCACTTTTCCTAATGACACAGACCATTTCACCACACTGGAAAGTTCCTTTGTGTCCCTCTACAATCAAGAACCATCCCCATCCCACTCACGTAATTTCTATCATAGTTTTGTTCATTAACTTCATATAAATGGAACCATACAGTATATACTCGTCATTGTTTGGCTTCTTTCACTCAGTGTGTTTCTGAAATTAATCCATCCTGTTGTGTATTTCATAAGTTCATGTTTATTAATGGCTGAATAGTATTCCATTATATGAATATACCACAGTTTGTTTATCCATTTATCTGCTGATGTTCCAATTTGAGGCTATCATGAATAAAGCTGATATGAGTATTAGTATATAAGTATTTTTGTAGACATATGTTTTCATTTCTCTTGGATGTACATCTAGAAGAGAAATTGCTAGGTCACATGCCAGGTTTATGTTTAATTTTGTAAGAAACTGCCAAACTGCTTTCCAAAGTGGCTGTTAAATGTTATATTTCCCACCAGCACTGTGAAAGTTCCAATTGCTCCACATTTTCACCAATACTTCTTATCGTCAAGCTTTTTTAATTTTAACCATTCTAGTGTGATATGGTGGGAGCTCTGGTAGCATAGTGCCTAAGCACACTTGACTGCTAACCAGAAAGCTGGAGGTTCAAACCCACCAGCCACTCCTTGGAAGGAAGGTTGGGCAATCTACTTCTGTAGTGATACTGCCTCAGAAACCCAAGGAGGAGTTGCTATGAGTTGGGTCCGACTCGATGACACATAACAGCAACAACAACAGCAGTGTGATATGGTATTTCTCGTCATTTTAGTTTGCCATTTCCTTGATGACTAAATGCTATTGAGCAATTTTTTATTTGCCTAATTACCATTCATAAATCTTTCATGAAGTACCTTTTCAAATCTCTTGTTCTTTTTCTTTTTTTTTACTGTGTTGCTTGTCTTATAAATGAGTGTTAAGTGTTCTTTATATAGTCCAGATACAAGTCACAGCTACATGTACTGGGAAAATTTTCTCCTAATGGTATCTTTTAAAGATCAGTAGATGTTTGTGTGTTTTTTCCTACCTACTGATTTTTACATTTTCTATCTTCACTTATGAAAGTTTTGTCTTTGATTAAAGGAAATTCATACATTAGGGAACATGTTTTATGGAACAGAGCATAAAAAATAATCTACTTCCTATCCTAGGATGACATTTTACTGCTTCTTCAAGTAAAACTTAAAGGTAGTTGTGCTTTTACCATCTTCCAGCACTTGGAGTAGAAGGGAGCTTTGGTGGGTACAGTTGTTAAGACATTTGGCTGTTAACCAAAAGGTCAGTGGTTTGAACCCACCAGCTGCTCCATGGGAGAGAGATGAGGAGGCTGTCTGCTTCCATCAAGATTTACAGTTTGGAAATCCTAATGGGGCAGTTCTATTCTGTCCTACAGGCTCGTTATAAGTTGGAATCAACTTGGTGGCAGCAGGTTTGGTGTGGTTTGGAGAAAAAGATAAAATGTTTAGTATAACATGGAAGTGCAAAAAGCATGTTTTCCTTTTCCTAAACCCCATTTCTCCATTTCATCTTTCTTGCCTTATAATTCCCAGATGTCCATTCTTGCTTTCACTTCTTCTCTCTAGGCTCCTAGGCATGAACTTTTTACATACCCTGTAATGCTTCTTCTCACTAGAGAGGCAAGGCACAACTTCATATCCTTAGTATTTTGTTCCTTCAAACCTTATGGATAACAAATACCTATGAAATCACATGGATAGAGATCAAAAGACCTTGGCCTAGAAGCATGGAGAATAAGACTCTAATCTATCTAAATTAGTATCCAAATCTGGTGATTATAGATAAAGTAGGGAAAAAAAAAAAAAAAAGCATGTTAGGTACCAGATACCTGCAATGCACATAAAGCTCTCTGTCTCAAGTAGTCTGTATTAAGTAACTGAAGTTCATGGAAGAGTTCAATAAAATGGGGACGAGATTCATTTTGAGACACGGTTTATTAAATTTACATCATTCTTCTCATGACTTTTCTCCATTTCTAGGTTATTTTCATTAAACCTTGCTTCATCAGTTGAAATACATTAAGGTGCTGTTTTTCTGGATGATTTTCTTTTCTCTAGGCTTTTTTTTAACTGCAAATCCTAATTTATCTTTTATATATTTATATAAGCATCTTTATTGACTGTTGTCTGGTTTATTAATTATCTTGTATGAACACAAAATATACTTATTAAATGTCTGTTATGAGTTGGCCCCTATCTTGGGCAACAGGGCTATAAATTTGATTATTTTAGACCTCATAATCTACATTTATATATAATTTTTGGTGTTTTACTGGTTCATATTTTGACTGAGTTTTATAACTCACCTCAAAATAAAAGTAATATATTATATCCATGCTGGAGTTTTCACACAAGCCCCAACTCTAGTATATTAGATGTGCTCACATTGTTTGACAATAATTTATTTAACTTTTGTTTATTACATACTAAAATTACGTCTACATTTCATTCATTTATCAGCTTACATCATCAGTAGTAGCAAGGCTTTCACTTGGAGTAAGTTCTGAGTTTGATGCTATCCAAGTACCAGAATTCACTGACTTCACATTTTCCCCTTCTTTTTCATGGCTCTCAGATGTATGTCTGGATACTATGTCCTAAGTAAGGAAACAAGACATTTATATAAACCATATGCTTAATCACAATTTTTTACTGTATGTGAAAAAGCAGAAGCAGATGGAAGGACCAATGTATTATTTATCATCTCACAGATGAACTGTGAGGAAGAAATAACATTAAAGATGAAACATTGGAAAATTTCTCAGAAAAACATGGTAATTAAAAATTACTTAGGCTACACAAGATGTTTTAAATAAAATGGCGAGAAAGCACACAAAAAAAACGATCAAAATACACATGGAACAGGAATCTGCTTCAACCTAAGAAGGAACCAGATATACTAATGAAGAAAGGTGATTATAGACAAGGTAGGAAAAAAAAGCATGTTAGGTACCAGATACCTGCAATACATATAAGGCTCTCTGTCTCAAGTAGTCTGTATTAAGTAACTGAAGTTCATGGAAGAGCTCAATAAGAAAATGTGGACGAGATTCATTTTGAGAAATTAATGTTGCTACTTCAGAATAAATAGTATCCCGCAAAGCTTCAAACAAGGAAAAATCACTCCCAGTTTCTAGAAGACATAAAAGATAAAAAAAAAAAATCAATGCTAATGAAATATCTTCCTGACACTATTCAATAACTTGTATCACTATTCTCAGCTTTCTATTACTTAAAAATCACAACATAACACTATTTCAGGGTTTTAAAGTATAAAGAGAACCTTACAATTACTAAGATAAATACTATCTGTTAAAGAAACATTTAAATGCCCAGATAAGATTACCTAGCACTTCTCAGATCATACTTATGTCTCAAAAATGCCTGGAAATTTTTACACACTTCATAGGACTGTTTGTTGTCGTTGTTAGGTGCTGTCGAGTTGTCTCTGACTCTTAGCGACCTTACGTACAACAAAACGAAACACTGCCTGGTACTGTACCAGCCTCATGATCCTTGCCATACCAAAGCCCACCACTGAAGCCACTGTGTTAATACATCTTGTTGAGGGCCTTCCCCTCTTTTGATAACCCTCTACTTTACCAAGCATGATATCCTTCTCCAGGGAATGGTTCCTTCTGACATGACCAAAGTAGGTGATATGAATGAAGTCTGGCCATTTCTCACTCCAAGGAGCATTCCAGGGGTACTTCTTCCAAGACAGATTTGTTAGTTCTTTTAGTAGTCTATATGGTACTTTCAATATTCTTCACCAACACCACAACTCAAAAGCATCAACACTTCATCGGTCTTCCTTATTCATTGTCCAGCTCTCATATGCATATGAGGCATTAAAAATACCACAGCTTGGATTGGGCACATCTTAGTCTTCAAAGAGACGTCTTTGCTCTTCAGCACTTTAAAGAAGTCTTTTGTAGCAGATTTGCCAAACACAATATATCATCTGATGTCCTGATTGCTGCTTCCATTGGTATTGATTACAGAACCAAGTAATATAAAGTCTTTGACAAGTTCAATCTTATTTCCATTTATCATGATGTTCCTTATTGGTCCAATTGAGAGGATTTTTGTTTTCTTTATATCGAGGTGTAATCCATACTGCAGACTGTAGTCTTTAATCTTCATCAGTAAGTGCTTCAAGTCATCCTGACTTTCAGCAAGCAAAGTTGTGTCATCTGCATATCGCAGGCTGTTAATGAGTCTTCCTCCAATCCTGATGCCACATTCTTCTTCATGTAGTCCAGCTTCTTGGATTATTTCCTCAGCATACAGACTGCATAAGTATGGTGAAAGGATACAACTCTGACATACCTGCTTCCTAATTTTAAACCAAGCAGGAGCCCCTTGTTCTGTTTGAACAATAGCCTCCTGGTCTATGTACAGGTTTCTCATGAGCACAAATAACTATTCTGGAATTCCCATTCTTCTCAATGTTATCCATAATTTGTTATGATCCACACAATTGAATACTTGTTCAATAATTTCCACATTCTGTGGGATCACCTTTCTTTGGAATGGGTACAAATATGATCAATTGGCCAGTTAGCTGTCTTCCAAATCTCTTGGCATAGCTGAGTGAGTGCTTCCAGTGTGGCATCTGTTTGTTGAAACATCTCAATGGGTATTCCGTCAACTCCTGGAGCCTTGTTTTTCACCAATTCCTTCAGTGCAGCTTCAACTTCTTCCTTCAGTACCATTGGTTCTTGATCATATGCCGCCTCCTGAAATGGATGAACACAGACCAATTCTTTTTGGTACAGTGACCCTGTGTATTCCATCTTCTTTTGATTCCTGCATCTTTCCATACATTGCCCACAGAATCTTTCAATATTACAACTTGAGGCTTAAATTTTTTTCTCCAGTTCTTTCTGCTTGAGAAATGCCAAATGTTTTGTTCCCTTCTGGTTTTCCAACTCCATGTCTTTGCACATTTCATTAGAATAATTGATTTTGTCTTCTTGAGCTGCTCTTTGAAATCTTCTGTTCAGCTCTTTTATCTTGTCACTTCTTCCATTTGCTTTCGCTACTCTCTGTTCAAGGGAAAGTTTCAGAGTTTCTTTGGACATCTATTTTGGTCTCTTCCTCCTTTCCTGTCTTTTTAATGACCATCTGCTTTCTTGAAGTCACCCCATAATTCCTCTGGTTTTCTGTCATTGGTGTTCAATGAATCAAATCTATTCTCTGGATGGTCTCTAAATTCAGGAGGAATACATTCAAGATCATATTTCAGCTCTTGTGGCTTTAATTGTCTTCAGCTTCAAGTTGAACTTGTATATGAGCAGTTGATGGTCGGTTCCACAGTCAGCTCCTTTTGGCTGACAATACTGAACTTCTCTATAGCCTCTTGCCACAGATGTAGTCCATCTGATTCCTAAGTACTCATCTCGCGAAGTCCATGTGTGTAGCCGCCGTTTTTGTTGTTGAAAAAAGGTATTTGTAATGAGTAAGTCATTGGCTTTGCAAAATTTTATCATACAATCTTCAGAGTTATTCTATCACCAAGGCCATATATTCCAACAACCAGTGATTCTTCTTTTGTTTCCAACTTTTGCATTCCAATTACCAGTGATAATCAACACATCTTGACTGCATGTTCGGTCGATTTCAGACTGCAGAAGTTGGTAAAAATCTTCAATTTCCTCATCTTTGGTTTTGGTGATTGTGCATAAATTTGAATAACTCATCCTCTTTGTAGGCGTATAGATATTATCCTATCACTGACAGCATTGTACTTCATTTTGATGATGAATGTGACGCCATGCTTCTTCAATTCGTCATTCCTGGCATAGTATATCTTATGATTGTCTGATTCAAAGTGGCCAAACCAGTCCATTTCAGCTCACTAATGCCTAGAACATCAATCTTTATGCATTTCAGTGCATTTTTTACAACTTCCAATTTCCCTTGAATCATACTTCGTACGTTCCATGTTCCAATTATTAATGGATGTTTGCAGCTGTTTTTTTCTCATCTTGAGATGGGCCACAGCAGCAAATGGAGGTCCGAAAACTTTTACTCTATCCACATCATTAAGATCAGTTCTACTCTGAGGAAGCAGCTTTTCCCCACTTGTATTTTGAGTTCCTTCAAACCTGAGAGGTTTATCTCCTGGAACTATACTGGACAATGTTTCAGGGCTATTCATAAAAGTTTCCCAGTAACATATCAGACAGTGTTTCACTGCTATTCATAAGGTTTTCACTGTCCAATTCTTTGCGAAGTGGATGGCCCCTTCCTTCCGCTGAGTTTGTCTTAGTCTGGATGCTCCACTGATGCCTACCTACCATGGGTGGCACTTAAAATACCTGTGGCACAGACTCCAACCTCACAGTAACATGCAAGCCACCAAAGTACGACAAATTGACAGTCAAGTTCATCTCTCTTAGCTGTTCCAAAACACTCCACTCACTTCCTCATCTCCCTCAGCCTTTCCAAACCCACTGTGTCAGCTTGCTTCCTTCCTGGTCTCCCTCTCTTCCAAACCTGCCACTGGCTCATTTCCTTCCTGGTCCCCCTCAGCTGTTCCAAACCCGCTGTGCCTGCCCGCTTCCTTCCTGGTCTCCCTCAGCTTTTCCAAACCCACCACCGGTTTGCTTCCTTCTTGGTGTCTCTCGCTCACTCCAAATCCGCTGTGCCAGCTCTCTTCCTTCCTTGTCTCCTTCATAGGACTAATTAGTGAAAATATTCCAGCAGTGTGATAAACTAAACTATGTGAAAACAATTTTTTCTTTTTTTGCTAATTTGAACCTTCTTACAGAAGAGGAAACTTAACTTTTTTTTGCAAATGCTGAAAACAAACTGAATATTGCTATGATAAATCCCATCTATCATACAAAAAACAAGTGCTGCTATACTAAGGAAAATCTAAATTTGTAACTATAATATGATGACTCAACTTCACTATAGTGTCTTATACTCAGTATAAGCTGGAATAGAATCACTGGTGGTTCAAATGGTTAATGTCCATGGCTAACTCAAAGGCTGGTGGCATGAGTTCACTCAGAGGAGGCTAAGAAGAAAGGCCTGACAACCTACTTTTGAAAAATCAGCTACTGAAAACACTATAAAGCACAGTTCTACTCTGACACACATGGGGTCACCATGAGTTGAAATCGACTTGACAGCAACTGGTTTTTATAAGCTGGAATAGACAGTGATCGAACTGAAGTTTTCAGTTTCACAGAATCCAGGACTAACTCTATTATTTAGCTACAATCCTGCTATACGTATTTGTTGATACAGAGTTATCATTCTTAAAGGTATACAGTTATACTTGTATTTTAAGAGTACAAATCAGAACTATTCCCCATTTTGAGTTCTCTATGGGAAAATTTCCAAGTGGCTCTTCTAGCTATCAAATGCTATAAATTTTATAGAGCAATGAGAGAACCTCAGTAAGTACAGGGTCCACAAAAATCAATTACAAGATTCTAAGAAAGGAAATTAAAACTGTTGGGTATTTTAATATATTGTGCTTTCAAATAAATGTGAAAAGATGACAAAATGTAACTCCCTTTTCACAGGAAGGTTGAGAAAATACAAAAGAAATGTGCTCCAACAACAACAAAAAGTTTATACTAATCAGCTAAGTATTAATACATTCAGGTCTCAATTCTCATAAGTATAAAATAATAATAGTAAAAAATACACAATTTCTCTTCAGATAGTTATGATGGTTACAAAATGAAGCAATTCTTAGAAGGTTTAAAATGTCCAAATGTGATTCATTTTAAAGATATAAGTATAAAGCATATTTTAATGACATCTTTAATACTTTTGTATGTGATAAAATTATCATACCAAATTATGTATAAGTAAAGATTATATTATTCCCAAATAATGAATTATGCCAAACATATGCTTCCTCCCTCCCACAGCAGCCAAGAGATTTATGAGTTTCTTCTCTTGTACTAAAATTAGAAAGTTGAGCCTAGAAAAATCCCTGATGGCAGTCAGTATTCTCTGATAACATCTTGTTGTTACCCTCTCTAGTTTTGGAGTTCTTTTCTTTTGGAAGTGTTACTGATATATTCAGCTTTGTCAGTTTTGAGTCCTAGTTTTACCTCTTTAGAGTCTCCTAAACGTTCATCCAAACCAAACCAAACTCACTGCTGTTGAGTCAGATCTGACTCACAGTGATCTCTCCTTGGGTTTCCGAGGCAGTATCACTATGAGTAGATTGCTCAATCTTCCTTCTGAGAAGTGGCTGGTGGGTTTAAACCGCCAACCTTCTGGTTAGTAGTTAAATGCCTTTGTTGTTGTTGTTGTGTGCCGTTGAGTCGGTCCTGACTTATAGCGACCCCTCCTCGGGTTTCCGAGGCAGCATCACTACAGAAGTACGACTGCCCAACCTTCCTTCCAAGGAGTGGCTTGTGGGTTTGAACTGCCAGCCTTCTGGTTAGCAGTCAAGTTTTCATTCATGTATAGCTGCAGAAGGACCCAGATATTTATAATTCTAAATCATTCATAACCATACTTAATGTAAAATACATAGTATAAAGATTAAAAATAAAAAAGCATTTTGGAAGCTTTGTAATTTTCCATGATCTTCATCATGGTCTTTGCATGTCATAATTATTTACTTATTTAAGAGATGTCAATAAGTCATGAAAAAGAAGCAAATTGTAACAGTATAAATCACATTCACATGCAGAATCTGACACTGTATATCAGAGCCAGGAATAAAAGTAAGTAAATTTTGTTTTCAAAAAATGTTAGTAACTGTTAAGCAATTAAGAAATACAAAATAACTCTTCAAATCAAACACTAAATCATAAAAAGGTTTCTATTACTTGTATGAATGTGTTGGTTATGTTACACATACTATTAGAAAATGAAAACAAGAAAACCATCCAATTTTACCAAGAGTTACAAATGAAAGACTTCAGATTTTTATGAATATGAATTTTCTCATTTTTACAACAGTAAAACAATGATATACATACACTAGGCTAAATCTAAAAATAAATAATCAGAACAACAAAACCAAGGATTTTGCCATTAATGGGAAAAAAATGATCAAGACGAGGACACCAAAACTAAGCAGATTGTTACCTGGCGCTTCATTGCATGCATTTCTGTTAGACTGCTGTAGTATTCTCCTAGCATGTGCTGTAGGAAAGGGTAGACATAAGGATGAACATAAAATGTGTATGAGTAGTAAAGACAGGGTCTAAAATATGAATCAGTGAATGAAAAAAAGAAATAGCATATTTCTTTAAAATTGTTTGCCTGAACTGAAATGTTATTACCAAGTATGCTTTACGCTCACTTAAAAATAAACTCATCAGATGGGAAAATCCTAAAAGGTTTATAAGCTTTTATTAATGTGACTGATAACTATCATAATACAGTTCTACCATTCAAGATTAAAACCTCCCGTAACTCCCAAAGAAGATGACAACTGTGTAATTCAACCCTAGCAGTCATATATGCTATACTTTATTTAACTATGTATCATGGGTAAAGTAATAATTACATGCTGTGAAAAATTACATGATGATAAAAACTAAATTGTTAGCATGTGAAAATGTAAATATACTCAAAAGTATATTTACACATTTTTTAAAATTCACCAAAATTCAGTCATATTAGTCCAAGTGACAGTGATATGGTCTGAAGTACTATACCCAAATATCAACTACCTAGGTGACAGATACCTAATTTATTAAACTTTTCAATTTAGTGCTCTTCTCTCTTACCCAACTGTTTACTGTTTATAAATATTGCTATTTGATAAAGATAGTGAAATGAGATGAATACTGTAAAATTTTGGTGATGTTCTGGGGGGTTAGACAACATAATTTTTTCTAAAGGATCTGAACTTAAGAAGAAACCAGAATTTAAAGTTTAGTTGTGTCATTTCCTAGCAATATGACCATGAAGAAGTCATTTCAAAATACAACTATACTGTTTCTTTTCTGATTATAAAAAAATACATACTCATTATAAAGGTTTTAGAAAATAGAGAAAAGTTTGAGGATGATAATAAAAGGAAATAGTATTAACATTTTGATACTTTTCTTCCAGTCTTACTCAATTTTTTGTTGCAACATAGTTGGAATCATGTTGTTCAAAAAGCACTAAATTCCCAGTTTCTTTCTTTCTCTTAGGATGCTTTGCTAAAAGTACAATTAATCAGTTAAAGGGCATGACTTCACTGTCCAAGAAAGTTGTGCCAAGTTATACTGTTAGCCCTTTGAGAATGCTAGGAAAAATCAGCTACCCTCTTTGATCATGTTTCCTCATCTACAAAATGAAAACAAAACCAACTCACAGGATTATGAGGCTCAGATGAGATGTGCTGGCAATTTGAAAACAGTAAAGTATAATACAAAAAGTAGCTATTATTATATTTTTCACCAATGATTTTATTGACAACTGAGGACCACCTGAATTTATATTTACTACCTTATCCCCATATTTCTCTGCAATGCAGTTATTATTATTATTTTTTTTTTAAATAACAAAATTACTACTATTTATTTAAATACAAGGAGCTCTGATGATGCCGTGGTTAAAGCACTGGGCTGCTAACCAAAAGGTCGGCAGTTTGAAACCACCAGCTGCTCCATGGGAGAAAGACACGGTAGTTTGCTTCCATAAAGATTTACAGCCTTGGAAATCCTATGGGGCAGTTCTGTCCTGTCCTATAGGATTGCTATGAGTTAGAATTGACTTGATGGCACTGGGTTTTTATTTAAGTAAAAATACTTGCAAGTACATATGCTTTCACTGATTTAACAGACACTTACTGAGCTTCTACCATGCGTCAGGTATTACTGCTAATATTTAAGATACAAATATGAAAAGGCAGTATCTGCTCCCAAGCAACTCAAAAGGGTGATACAGTTAAACAGACAAACACTATATGATATGGAAAACAAAATAGGTGTAGACAGGCTAAAATGGAAACAAGAAAGAAAAAGAGGAATCTACCTTAGCTTAGTTTATGAAGTAGTTTCATAGTTCCATAATAAAGATTTTATGTAAGAGTCTATCAGAGAAAAGAACTTACAAAGGGTAAAAGGGACATGGGTAGAAAAGACAAGTGTGGTGAAAAATAGTTTGATAGGTATGGGAAAAGTTTAGTTCAGTGCCAATGAAAGAATGAAGTTCAAGGCAGAGGGTAGTGAGAGATGAATCTGGAGAGGTTGGAAATAACCAAATCTCTGAGGGCCATACATGTTACATTAAGGCATTCAAATTCCAGTGAAAGCAAAGGTTTCAGGCAGAATGACAGGCCTTTTTATCAATTACTCAAATGAGGAGTTCTACAATAACGTCACCTATCCGTTTGTCTGTTTAGGAAGTATTTTATAAAAATTTGCCCAAAACTAGTTGTCACAGTCCCAAAATACTTATTTCTAGTTTAGATTTCTTGATATCAAGTACTGTGTACCATAGTATCTACTATAAAACTTTATACAAAATAAAAACATTTGATGTACCAATTTCAAATCTAAGATAAAGAACTCTTTAAAGTAAACTTAAAAAAAAAACAAACAAAAAAAACCCAAAACATACCTGAAGATATTTCTGTTGACCTACTACATTTTATTATTTTTTCCAGCTGCTCATGATTCTTTCTGTTGAATATTTTTGCTTGAACAGGCTCTTCAGTCTGGGCTGAATGTCTGTTCCTACTTTTGCAAGGTTCACATGTGCTAGACATACTGGCACTTTCATACCCTTGAGTAAAACAAAGTGACAGCTGTTATCAATTGCAACTAATTCAAACTAAAAGGGAAACTGATTTCCAAAATGAAACAGTACATGATAACTCAATTTAGAATGCAATGAAGCTCTGGTATAATACAAAAATAGTAAATAATGTCCTGGCACTATCTTCACAATAAACTTTGGAAGCACAAGAAAGGTTAATGAATTCTAACACTTTTTTGTCCTTTGTTGTCCCTCCTAATGAATATGTCCAATTCAAACTGTATGGCAGATGTTATACAACCCAAGTTCTCTAATGAACTGCAAGATGATAATTTTTCAGGATTATACAAAATGAAAATAAATAATGGAAACCAGTCAAATATGTTTTTGTTTTTCTACCTTTTATGTGATATGTCTTGCTTTAAAAGGCCTTATCCATGCACAGGTTATACATATATTCTATTAAGTTTTCCCTTCTAACTGGGCTTTTTTTGCAGGGGATGTGTGTTTGTGTATGTATACACTCGTTTCTATGCTGTTCAACATAGGTAGTAGATTTTTTTACCTAAATAAACTACACTTTTCCAACTAAATTAAAGTGCATCCTTGGTTAAAAAAAACAAAGTCACTGTGATTGAGTCAATTTTGACTCAAAGCAACCCCAATTAAGTTTCTGAGGCTGTAAATCTTTGAGATCTGGCAGTGTGGGACCTCCTACTTTGTTCTCCTTCTTCAATAGTGCTTTGCTTAACCAGGGTCTCTTTCCTTTCCATATATAGTGACTGGTTTTTCCATATCCTTAAAGAATGTTGATGGGATCTGGATTGGGATTGCACTGAATGTACAAATTGCTTTGGGTAGAACTGACGTTTTCACAATGTTCAATCTTCCTATCCACGAGCATGGGATGTTCTTCCATTTATATAGATCTCTTATGGTTTCTTGAAGTAGCTTTTTTAGTTTCCTTTGTAGAGGTCTTTTGTATTCCTGGAAGATTTATTCCCAAGTATTTTATTCTTCGGGTAGCTATTGTAAATGGTATTGATTTCCTTTTATCTTTTTCAGCAATCTCTTTGCTGGTGTAGAGGAATCCAACTGATTTTGGGATGTTAATCTTTTAAACTGCCATGATGCTAAATCTCTCAATTAGTTCCAGTAGATTTTTGACTGAGTCTCTTGGGTTTTCTAAGTATAGGATCATATCATCAGCAAACAGGGATAGTTTGACTTCTTCCTTACCAATGTGGATGCCTTTGATTTCCCTTTTTTGCTTTATGGCCCTGGCTAGGACTGCCAGTACAATGTTGAACAGAAGTGGTGATAGAGGGCATCTTTGTCTGGTTCCTGTTCTCAAGGGGAATGGTTTCAGTCTCTCTCCAGTAAGAATAATGTTGGCTGTTGGTTTTGTACAAATGCCCTTTATTATGTTGAGGAATGTCCCTTCTATTCCTATTTTGATGAGAGTTTTGATCAAGAATGGGTGTTGGAATTTATCAAATGCCTTTTCGGCATCAATTGATATGATCATGTGGTTATTTTTCTTCGTTTTATTTCTGTGGTGGAAGATGTTGATTGTTTTTCTAATGTTGAACCATCCTTGCATACCTGATATGAACCCCACTTATTCATAATAAATGATTTTCTTGATAGGCTGTTGGAGTCTATTGGCTAGGATTTTGTTGAAGATTTTTGCATCTACATTTATGAAGGATATTGGTCTGTAGTTTTCCTTTTGAGTGATGTCTTTGCCTGGTTTTGGTATCAAGGTTATGCTTGCTTCATAAAAT